CATATCATTCAGGGAAGAGGCGGATACTGACCAGGAACCGTCTTTATTGCGTCGAAAAGGAGCGAGCGGCTCCTTTTACGTAGCTGGTGTAGCTGCTCCTTTTGGTGTGCCCATTCTCACCTACAGAAGGGCGATTACAACTTGCTCTATACAGTAAAAGTACGCCACTTGAATAACTTCAGATATTGCAAACGCTAATCACAGCGTAGATCTTACAAACCACTAAATCATCCTAGAATAATTAATTGACCAAGCTGAAGTACACAGCACGAAATTTCAAGGACGAACAAAAGTGCCATTGTCTCGCGTTTTATTCGCCAGTCCTCGTATGTTCGCGCTGTTTGTTTGTTCAATACTTAATTTTCTTCAGAGCGTAGGAATGACACCACACTTTGTCAAATAGGACTGTGCTTTCTTAAATGGCACAAATTCGTACTGCTCGCAAAGTAGTTTGTCTTAGTCAAATAAATAACGCTTTAAGTGTCCTCCGAGGTTGAGGATTATCGCCATAACTGCGTAATGTTTTACTATATTTACTAGCATGTAATATATACATAGGGATGTCAGATGTATGTATATGTCAACGACACCGGATATCATGCTACATCAGTGTGTGCTGCAGGCTCATAAGAATAGACCGGAAACAGAGGACTTTAACTTGCCCTTGAATATCAATGAAATCACAGCAGTAATATTCTTTTGAATTGTTCCGCAGCAAATGTCGTTGCTCTAGCAACACGACCCTATGCTGCAGGTGGACTCAAGCATTTAGGAGTCACTTACACCGGAAAACCTAGCTGAAGTTCCGGAAGATATTATGGGAGTATGGGAGCACCAGCAGCAGGACAGTACAGATATTTGCCTAATAAAAACTAGTTGCTGTATTAGGTCGTGCATTCTTTATTTCTTTATTTTCGTGCGAGAAATTACTAACAAATGAAAGACCTGTCCAGTGGTATTTCATGTATTTGTTTCTTTATCATGAAAGCAAATACGTCGTCAAGCTATGGAGACATACGAATGAACGCTTGAGTTGGCACCCAGATGTGCTCATCACAATTCATTACATCTTATGTATGTTCAACTCAATGCGGCATTCGATAGCACCTGATTATCTGGCTCAACTGCTTGCTTATCTCACGCCCGGGTTTTTTAAAACATGAATTATGGATTTATATCTTGAGCTCCGTCTACTTTTCGCAAACAATATTAAATGCAAATGATCGCGCCTGCCTTTTCTTCTTCAAATATTTTTCATGGCAACAGTACCAACTTTTCTAGCAATGTAATGATCAGAACAGAAAAATTCAACACAGGTTTCAATTAGTCAAGCGACGTCATTTCGTAACCACGTACAATGAACTCGATATCGATGCCCCAGCGCATTACTCGGCCCATTATTTATTACTCACTACCAGTGCTTCTCGGAAAAGCATTGATATCAAGTAGCTATTTAGATTCAATTAGTGTAAAATCTGAAGATATATTTCCGAACAATGCTAGCCATTTGCCACATCGATTTGTATTACGTATCTTTTATATCCATAACTGAGCTTTCTCATTGTGACTCATACTCCCTTTTGTGCATAGATACACGACTTGTGAAAATCGCATCATTGTCTTTTAGTTGGCCCTTTTCAATTCGAGTATATGAGTTTAGGCTATTTTTGTAAGCAGAAATTTCCGGCAGTCAACACAGTTTTACGCAAACGACCACAATCTCCAGCAGCAGTCGTTATACTGAACAGCCTATCTGACTCTTCATTAGTGAGTCCGATTTGTCTAAATCTGCTGGCTTCTATTCGAGTTTTATTCACAGATTTTATTTAAAATTAAGGTGTATATGTCACTGCAAGGTTCCAGTTGCGTATGCGGATCCAGTTGCATTTTTATCACACGAGGTCCCATTAACTCTTTATTGGGGACGTCCGCGTACGTCTCTGCAACGAGACTCACAAAATTTGCTATGCCTAGTAACTTCAAGAAACTTCCTTCATTTTGTATGTGATTTTTCATACCTGAAATATCCTTAGAAGAAATTAGTGGTATCTTCAGCCAAGCTATATCTATGCCGAAATATGTATGGCTGAGTACCCCCTGTACTCTACCTCTCACAGATCTTGCTTCTATCATGTACTCTGTTGAACCACAGATACCCAGACCGAAAAAAAGAAAGAGAAATAAAGATAGAGAAAAAGATCAATTCTTGGGGAAAATATTTTGCTTGAAGAGATACGAACCCACGTACCTACAATCTGAACGCGAGAGTCTGGAACACTCGTCTATGCAGGCCTTTTAGTGAAGCAGAGGTACTTAGCATAGCGTTTTCTAGTATAGTACAGCAAGTGTGTGGAAAAGCGTAATCATAGTGATGACAGATTTTAAGGTGAGAAAGAGGGAAAGGAGGAGGGCACAACAATTACGGAGAGACACAAAAAACTAGAAAGAAATACAGAGAAAGAAAATGGACACAAATGAAAGAAAGAGAGAAAAGCTACGGTGTGAGAGAAGGACTACAAAAATAAGGAGGAAAAGACAGGAAGAAAGGAACAAATACAGAAAAAAGGGGGTATACAGAGGGAAACATTGAAATACTGACGATGAGAGAGTAAAATAAAAAAGAACGCGCAAGACAAGGATAAAGTCGAAGGGTCGACTGTATACGTTCGGAAAGAGAAAGAAAAATAGAGATTCAAAGAGGAAGGCGAAACCAGAGAGACATCGAAGATGGAAAAAAAGATTGATCGGGAGGGAAAGGTAGTCACAAATACAGAAAAGATAGAAAAAGAGCATGCCTAACTATAAATAGTAAACAATAGTAATGAATGGTAGACGGATAGGTCAAAGGATAAAAGACCAAGCACGCCAGGGTCAGCCAGAAACCCACTGTTGTGAACCATCCTTGAGTGGCTTTGTGAAAACAGCGTCTTTTGTTTAGGTTTTCCTAAAATATCTCCCTGTACTGGGGTCATGTATGGCGAGGAATCACGTTGACGAGCGCAAGATTGCTTAGCGGCAAGTTGAATTAGAGCGGTGGTTAAAGCGCATCAAGCACGACACTGTAAAAATTGGAAAGGTGGAAGAGGCATAAAGTATCATACCTGTTATGAAAGGCTCAGCTGTAATTCTTCACTTTCGGCATCATCCGCCTCAGCAACAATAAGATTTGCAGCTTCGCTGGTACGCATGTTGGCTTAGAAATGCATAGTGGTTGTTCCACCACATAGCAAAGTGTGATTAACCGCCCAGTGGGTACCTCGCAACTTCATTTGCAGCCGCCTTAGCAGAGTTTGCAAAGGCATCCATGAAATTCTCTCTTCCCACCCACACACTGTGTTGCGTGTTTCGCGCAGGCATAGCATTTTATCGATGATTCATTTTACAACGAACGCTGTTACGAGATCACAACAATGGTCACGTGCGTCGTAGTTGTCCACCACCACCATGCACCACCTCCAGTGCCCGTAACCATTGTTGTGCGGAACAAGACAAAGATCTCGTAAATGAAAACCTCCAAGGACACAATGGGATTCAAAGCCGGGTCTCCTGCATACCAGACAAGTATTCTATCACAGAGTCATGCCGGTGCTTGAAACTCTGTTGCAAACTGGGCTTAGACAGCCTTGATGTGGGGAAAGTAATCGCGTTATATCAGTAATAAATCTTTTTTGAACACAAAGGTAACAACCAGGCGGCATGCAATTCGAATTGCGTAACGAGTGGGTCATCGACTGCGCCAACACATTACAAAAACTTCAGGCATAATTTTTCTGCTTCGTCAGCCACAACATAAAGTATGGCACAAAATTCCTTGCAAGTATGTAGCCGGTACCATGCTTATCCAGCGAATGATGATGGTTGGAATAGTGAATGCTTCCTTACCAGAGAAAAATTAGGATGATTTATGGCGTAGTGGGTACCCTGCAAGTTTAACTTGTAGCAATTGCCCACAAAGTGTTTAACAGTCTCTGAAAGGCCGTTTTTCTAGCTTTGATGATGATGATGATGATGATGATGATGATGGTTCCCGGAAGAATGGCACTACCCACTACGGGGATCGCCCATGAGGCGCGCGGCAGCAGAATTTGTGAAACAAGGTAACATAATGATAAAAAAGAATAATAAAACAGAAAAAAGAGAAAAAAGACAGTGGGAAAATATGTAAGAAAGATCATCTAAATAGGACAATAATATTCGTGATAAGTTTGGTGTTTTTCAATGCAATTCTACTTGAAGTTGAAGATATGAACTAATTAATTGATATCATTAGGGTGAAAGAATAGATGGTACAGTGTTTAAAAAGTCCTGATAGATATAGCATGCCATTCTCTTTGAATCTTTTAAATAATATAATATAGCCTCGTAAATTACCCTGTCACAATGGCCTTGTGCCGACGCTGAGACTGCACTGCGCAGGCCTGGCAATTTTTCTTTTGCTAGAGTTGTTTCTTAAGACTACTTTACGTTGCGCTTTGTTTGTATCAGAGGATATATTACAAGCTATTCATTTCTAGAAACATTTATTTTTTAAAGCTATTTATATTGAAAAAGAAGGTACTGCCTGATTCATGGCCGATTTCTCTAGCTGCGCTACACCTGGTTACTGGATGGGAAACAGGCAAACACGTTTCTCCCAATTCCCGTCGTCGTTTGTGAAACAAGCAAGCAAGTAATGCTAAATTTACTTGTTTCATTTTTTATTCTAATGAGAAGTGGCTCATACCCGCGAGGGGGATCGGCCACACTTTCTATTACAAAGTCCAATGTAAGCAGTGCGCAATACTTCAGAAAAACGCAGAGGTAGTGGGTATGCAACACGGTCCGTCGTCTTCCTCTTCGCGCGCTCAGCTTCCACGCGCAGGAGAAGAGCTCGAAGCCACCCACACGCGACGTGCTGGGTGAAGGTCACCCACAACAAGAACTTTGACGAAGCAAGCCAGCCGTTAACTGACGCACACAGAACGTATAGTGCACCGGATCGTGGACCACGGCTTGCCTCTATGCCGAGAGAGGACACGCTGCGGTCGGCCAAGGACGACGCGAAGGCCCAGGAGACGGGCGCGGCCACGCACCCGGTGAGCTCCGCTCCGACGTTCGTCCTCGTAAGCGATACCCGCATGTTCATCCAAGAGAACGTCTACGCCATCCTGGGTCACGGCAACTTCCAGCGGCGCCTGCTCTTCACCGGCATGTTGTCCGTGACGGTGCTACTGCTGCACGCGTTCGCCAACTTCCTGATTGGTCGCGACGTGGACCACTGGTGCCGACAGCCGGACGATCTGAGCCACGTGTCCGGAGAGACCTGGAGGAACACGGCCATACCAATCGAAGCCGACGGCAGCCACAGCCGATGCACCGTCTACCACCCAGCCATGCCAACGGTGAGGGCTCTCGCTTCGCTGCACGGGGTCTAAATGGGGCTACTTCCAGATTTAGATAAAAAAGGGTGCAAATACCGGTGATCTAATACATCACCGACCATTGGTAACTGCATAGTCTTAACTCGTTCACTGAACCCAGTTGAAGGTTAATGACGTGTTATAGTACTTATTTTTTTATAATGCCAGCATTTTTACACACTACCCTAAGCATTGCTGTCGCAGTTGGGCTTCTCGACTTGCTTGACATTAAGCGAAGTCTTGGTGGCATCCTTGCGCGGCCCCTTAGCGATAAGCGGCAAGTGAAGGAAGTGGCACGAATGTCCGCGTTTTCTATGCCCTTAACGACCTTATGTCGTGACGTGACCATGTGCCGTCATCATGATGGCATGTTTTATCGTCATAATGACGCAATAATCACGTCACTTTTTCATATTGCATTGTGGCTTGGTCAAAAGAGAGATGACTGCCTAAGTAGTGCACGTTCACGCAAGATACAGAAAGATTCATTCGAGACAAACACTGCAGTCGGTAGACGTTAGGGTAAATTATTGTGTTTCTCTCATGCTATGGCTCGCTATGGCTTGCAGGATGTTTGGCCACGGATTGTATAACATAATGCGTTGGCAAGTGTAGACTTTCTCCTTAAATTGTTGCAACGATGGCACAGTGGGTTTTTTTAGAACAAACCTTTTTTTATTATTGGGCGCCTGATTTGTTAGAAGTTACACGATTTTTATGCAGCCTGAGGCTAGTGATTCACCAAAAGCGGAAACTAAACGGCAAGCCCTGTTCTTTCACGGGCAAATGAAAAAAAAAATTGACAGAAAGCTTTCCTACAGAAGGATCTGCGTACTGTTGAAGTCGGAACAATATCGTAATTATTCTCGTTTTTTTGCTCTGCACCCGCAACTAGCAGGAAAGTCTAATAAATCTGTATTTTTTCTGACTGATCTGCCGCGATAAGCCTGCAAATAGAATACTCTGTAGCAGTACTACTGCCCAATGAAAGAGACGCGTCTTACATGTCACCAAGTAGCGTGCTCCCGAATTTATGGCTCTCGTCACCTACAACTAACATTTGGTTCTTCGTGATAAGCTCGGGAATGCCCATCAGCTCAATACGTTGTTTAGCTATTACTACACCTTCACCCTACAGATAATTTCTTCAAAGTTTATTATCATAAGACATCTATAATATAGAACGTTTCCATCTTGTCAGTTAATATTGTAGTGTACATGGTAGCGACAAGTTCACTCTTGAATACACCACTAAACAAACAATGCATCCTCTTGGAGCCGTGCTATTACTCCCTCAGTTGATGAAAACCTTATAAGTGTGCATGCGGCTGACTACTCTGCTAAAGAATTGAAAAAGCACCACTTTGCAGAAACTGCACACGGTCAGTGTTTTATATGGACGAAGGTCATGTGCATATTTATTGTAGGTAACCAACGCCTACTGTGCTTATTGCGCTGAGTTACTTGTGAGTCCCGATACAGGGTAATGCACGCGTGAATCACCATGCCTCCACCAAATTCACTACAAAAGGTCTCCTAAATCTGTTTTTTTATCTTGGTATGTAGTACAATTACAAAATAGAGATGGCACAAACTACACAGACAGAGTATTAATAAGAACAGACAAGGATTACAAGGATAGTATAGAGGACGGTATTACTAGTATTTCTAATGCATGATTGTGAAGACACAAATGTGGACGAAAAAAACCTTTTCGCTGGCAGGGACCAAACCTGCGACCTTGGAGTAATGCATCGGATGCTCCATCATCAATGTTCTATCAACCCGGTGATGTAGATCAGTTTGCCAAGAATAGTGCTTCTCTGTTTGTTTATTCTGAAGAACCATTGCTTCACAAGCGGGGTTGCCTTTATAAGTGCGGAAAAGTTGGCTACTTTTCTTTTTGTCGGCCAGGCTTTACCTAGATAACGTACCTGCTTTGAAAGGCCCTAATTGAAATACCCTAACTTGCAGTCTTACAAGCCTAGATATATTTTAATAGGCAAGATATATTCCTTATTCTCCCAGCCGGACAATGCCGTGGAGATACGCTCCGTGATTTCAAGATACTGTTGGAATTACGACACCCAAGACGTCAGTGACAGCATCGTGAGCCGCTGGGACCTCGTCTGCAACAAACGCTGGCTCTACAAGTTCACCAAGATTGCCAACATGTTGGTAGCCGCATTGCTCGTGCCAGCCGCCGGGTTCGTGTCCGACCGGATCGGCCACCAGCTGGCCATATTGGGCAGTGTGATTTGCCTGCTGGCATGCAGCGTGGCGTGCAGCGTTGCGCAAACGTTCTTCATGTTCCTTGTGACCCGGTTCTTTCTCTCCGCGGCCAGCTGCTCGGTTCAGGTGCTCATGTTCATCCTCATCTACGAGGTGACCGGCAACCAGAACCGGGCGACCTACGGCGTCCTGGACGCAGCGCTCGGCACGACCCTGGTGCCGCCAGCCTTGTACGTTCTCTCCATTCAGGAGCCCCACTGGGTTATGGCGCACCTAGAGCTGCTGTTGCCCACGTTCATGCTCGTTTTCTGGTGCTTCCTTCTCGACGAGTCACCCGCCTGGCTTCTCTCGACGGGAAATCCTCACGCCGCGGAAGCAGCCGCCGTGGCCGCTGCCACCAGTAACGGCCTGAGTGCGCACACGGCGCGAGAAGCCTTCCGGGCACTCGTCGCTCACATCCGAAGGCGCGACGCCTCCAAACAGTTTGTCATGACCATCGGCGGCAGCGACATGTTCATGCACGAGCCTCTGTTCCGTTGGGGCGTCATGTCTGTCCTGCCGTCCTGGTTCAGCGTGAACCTCGCCTACTACGGTTTCGTCCTTCAGAACGCCTATACCAGACACGTGTGGCGCACAATACACATGGTCGTCCAGGCGTTGCTCTACGCCAGCGTCTGTTGGTACATCAGCGACCACGGACAGCGGGAGACGCTCTCGATACTGCTCGCCTTTCTGTGCGCCTCCGCGGTCACTCACGCTGCCGTGTCCGTGACGATGGCGGGCCAGCTATCCTCAGCAGTCGTTCTCGTCGTCGAGAGCCTGGCGTCCGCAGCGCTAAGCGTCAACTACGGCTACACGGCGGAGGTCTTCCCCACTACCGTGCGGAGCATAGGCCTCACGATCTCCTACGCGTTCGGTCGCGTAGGGGTCATCGTGGCCTCCGTTATTGTGGTGCTCTGGGGTGGTGCCAATGAAGCCGACATGCCGCTCGATGTGGCGGTGGCTGCGTTGGCTTTGTTGAGCGCCGTTTCCATCCAGTGGCTGCCCGAGATATTTGCCAGGAAAAAGGAGAAGTCTTGCTGCAGCAGCGAAAAGGAAAGGAAGGAAGCAATCCTGGCGTCACTGTCTTCCACCATCAAGACGATCAAACACCCACTCAAAACCCGCCGAAGGTCATCGGGAGCCGTCTCGGCGTCGTCTTCCAAGACACGCACACTAACGGCCCGTCCACCTAGCAGCCTATAGCTGGATATACTGTCGAAGGAGCCTCCATGTATGATCAAGTGAACACATATTGTTCTCTTTTTACTTATTTATTTTAATATTTTCATGAGCACTTACGTTGATAAAAAATGATTTCTCTTGCGTCATACGTTTGTTCGGCCTGCCTTTTATTGCATTTTATTAACGCTGGACTATACATTCTTTTGTGAACCATCCAGACAGTCGTTTATGAAATATTTTGTGTGCTTGTGTGGGCTATAAAACCTCCTGCGAGCCATTTTGCGGCACACAAAAAATAATGTTAACACACGCGCTCAGTATTATCATTCTTATTGCATTTCTAGAAGAGTATAGGCCCCGTGGAGTAAAAACGCCTTTACTTCCAGAGCCCCTCTTTGGAGGCTCAGCATTCGAGTGGACATAAATTGGCAGCAGCCTGGAAAGCATTGGTGTGTATAAATGAGGTGCCCTTAGCAAGTGTTCAGTTATAGTCCGTATAAAATACTGTAGCGATGCTGAAGTACATGGACGAGTCAAACAAACGTATCATGCGCGAAGCTGTGCCCACAACTTGAAGTGAATATGGTAGCTAAACTGCGCGTCAGTCGAACACGTAAAAAAAAGTCGGCTGTCTTCTTTTTTCTCTCTGCGTAAGGTCTGAGCGCGTGGCGCATACGAGCTGAATCCTGTCAGCAGCTCGTGCTACGATGTTTTCTGCGCGTACATACCCTGTGCTCACCAGTGAAGGCGCGTTATTTGAACATGGGCAAGATGCCACGGCAATACTACGTATTCGATTTGTGTAAGCCATCGAGCGAATGAAGCACATTCTCTTACTTACAATGACACATCCTTATTAGCAGTGGAGAATAATCCTGTGGTGCCCAGTTCGTCGAGTTGGCTTATTATAGAAGTTGTTGTCTCGCTACATGGGTCTTTACCGTATCATTTGCCAGGTAACCGACGTCACCTATGAGATCATTCCTGCATCTGAAACCACGAGCCTGGCTGCAACCACAGCCAGTGAAGTTGTGCACGTCAGCAGGCTAAAACCTTACCACATGCCTTATGAAGACCGCATTTGATCTGCACCGAGACGGCACTTTTACCGCAGGGGTAAAAGAAGACGACAAAGAGGAAGTCGTCTGTTGATTGTGCGTGTTGTCCTCAATCTTAGTCGACGCTATACGCATCAGTGTCAACATAGATTCGAATAAAACCCGCCTGGTGTCATTTTTACGTAAGAATGATATTTCATTGTCGGTTTTGTCTTTTTCCACCTTTTCGTAATAATGCCGCGCAGTATGTACGGTTATGACCAAGTAGGTCGAATCAAAGTCGGTATACATGACGTTTGTTAGGTGCCACTTAGGGGGAGAAAACAAGCCCAGGCAAGATCCAAAATGAGTCGAAAACGTGTCATGCAGAAGATTTTGAGACGACGCGAACTCTTGGTAACAATCGATACGTATGCGCATGTCTAAACTTTAGCAAAACATAAAGGTATATATCCTCGAGCTCTTTTGGGGACACGATCACTTTCGCGTAATTTATTTTGACTGAATTTCGCACGTACTAAAAATACGTGAGCTTGTTAAAACGTCAACATCACGGCAGCTCACCTTGCATCGTTCTCGAGGCGAAGTGGGCCAGCTGGCTGTTTCGTCCATGGACGCGCCGAGTGATCGTGCGAGCGTACGAAGGCCGTACCCCAAATACGTAAGCTCGAGGATAATATTTCAGCTTTTCGGCGAACTTGGCTACGTATTTTCAAGTGGACAATGCAGAAAAAAAAACCAACGCACCCACGGCACTTTGTTTCGTGACGCATAGTCATATGATAGTTTTGGGACGTTAAAACTCAATATATTTATTGAAGTCTGGATATCACTACGCATTCTCTGGCTGCACTTTTAGTTGGCCAGAGCCAAGCCAGAGCAGAGAGTAGGCATGATGTAAAAGTATGAATGATCTGCCTATTTGTGAAAGAGAAACCGAAGGATAAGTTAGTGTACAAACACGTGCATTAGAGCAGCAGATACTGAAGGGAGAAACAAGTTATCCGTGCACGTTGGTTCCTACTGATACCCTAAGTACAGCCTGAACTTTATCCCATCAGCAGTTCAGTACCCGACAGAATTAAATAACCTTTGCGACAAATGAAGAGGTTACATACCTGCGCACTAGCGAACAAAAGTAAGTTTTCGACATTGACCAAATTTTGGTGACGGGGTTAGGGAAGGACACTTTGTGAGTGTCATTCGAAACTGATTGTACATATATAAGCACAGTTGTAAGGTTACTGCCTGGTTGTCTGTGTATTAAGCTCCCCACTTTGTTTCTCTCTGCATAATTTCCATGGTTCCACGCTCGTGGCGACAAGGTGATCGCCCCTACTCGTTACACATTAACATGTCGCTATGAGTTCTTGTAGGGCCAAACAATATCCAAAAATTGTGGTCTTGCGCAACCAGTAGAGTATTGCGTTCATCTTCTTTGCGTCGTATAACGAAATACTGAGACGCTTATTGGAGAACGCCTGGAACTTAAGTTACATAATTATCAGGAACACGGCAAGCAAAAGCCAGCAAAGTGCGAGCTCGTAGTGTACTGTTGCTATCTCTACTGCGTTGCTGCAGTTGCATGTTAAGCTAACGCGCTTGTAGTAAATGTTAAGCTAACGGTGCTTGCTTATCATTTTGCTTCACTCTGGCCCCACCACGGTGGTTTACTGGCTAAGGTAGTCGGCTGCTGACCCGCAAGTTGGGGGATTTAATCATGGCTTCATCATCGAGCCCTTGGGCATCTCCCGTGGTATTAGCAAAGAAGAATGATGATTGATTGAATAATATGTATAGTTTAACGTCCCAAAACCGCCATATGATTATGAGAGATGCCGTAGTGGAGAGCTCCGGAAATTTCGACCACCTGGGGTGCTTTAACGTGCACCCAAATCTGAGCACACGGGCCTACAACATTTCCGCCTCCATCGGAAATGCAGCCGCCGCAGCCGGGATTCAAACCCGCGACCTGCGGGTCAGTAGCCGAGTACCTTAGCCACGAGACCACCGTGGCGGGGAAAAAAGAAAATGATGGCTCATAGCGTTTTGCGTTGATTATCGCCACCTTAACAAACTTACTAAAAAAGCCGTGTACCCTCTACCACGCATTGACGATGCCCTCGATTGCCTCCATGGCGCCACGTTCTTTTCATCTTTCCACCTCCGATCTGGCTACTGGCAAATTGCTGTAGATGACATGGACCGAGAAAAGATCGCCTTCGTTACCCCTGACGGTCTTTACGAATTCAAGGTCATGCCGTTCGGTCTCTGCAACCCTCCAGTGACCTTCAAGATAATGATGGACACGCTCCTGCAAGGATTTAAATGGTTGACATGTTTGTGTTACCTGGACGACGTGATAAATTTCTCAATTACCTTGGCAACCCACCTTGAACGCCTTTCGACCATTCTTTCCATATTTCGACGGGCAGGCCTGCAGCTCAATTCCTCCAAGTGCCACTTCGGTCTTCGTCAGATTACCGTGTTGGGTCACCTTGTTGACGCTGCCGGCATACGACCACACCCGGTGAAAGTACGCGCTGTAACGAATTTCCCAGTCCCACGCGCTGTCTATATTGTCCGCAGTTTTGTGGGCCTCTGCTCCTACTTTCGCCGGTTCGTGAAAAACTTTGCGGCACTCGCACGGCCACTCACCGACCTTCTCACACAAGACCTCCCATATTTTCGGGGCCCTCTTCAAGCTGACGCATTCTATCAGCTAATCACCGATCTAACAACACCTCCCATTCTTGCACAGTTTGACCCCGATGCTCGTATACAGAAGTGCGAACAGACGCGAGTGGTCACGGAATCGGTGCAGCTTTGGCGCAAAGTCAGCGGGGCAACGACCATGTAATCGCGTATGCAAGCCGTTAGCTTTCAAAGTCTGAACGCAATTACTCTATAACAGAACGGGAATGTCGCGCCCTTGTCTCTGCAATTTCTAAATTCCATCCTTACTTTTATGGCTGCCCTTTCCGCGTCATCACAGATCATCACGCGCTGTGTTGGCTTTCTTCTCTGAAGGACCCCACTGGATGACTTGGCCGTTGGAAATTACGCCTGAAGGAGTATTCCTACTTGGTTGCTCATAGGTCTGGACGCCTCCGTCTGGACGCCAATTGCTTATCCCGCTATCCTGTTGATCAGCCTGACGAATCAGACATCGAGCCTAGCCTCAGCGTCTCGTCAATGTCCCAGTTTCTTCAGATTGGCGATGAACAACGTCGTGATGCTTCAATGCGACAACTTATTGACCGCCTCGAATCTGCTCCGCACGATGTCTCGCTTCGCATGTACGTCCTCCTCAATGGCATGCTGTATCGTCATAGCTTCCAGCCAGATGGCCCTGAGCTCCTCCTTGTCGTGCCGAAACATTTCCGTTCAACCGTGCTGCACGAGCTTCATGATGAACCAACTGCTGGTCATCTTGGTGTATTTCGGACGTACGACCGTTTGCGTCGCCGCTTCTTTTGCCACGGTATCGCCAGGTCCGTTCGCCTTTACGTGTCCTCCTGCGATAAATGCCAACGTAGGAAGCGACATACTGCGTCCCTGGCTGGATTCTTCAACCGATTTGGATCCCAACCGAACGTTTCTTCCGTGTTGGTGTAGATCTCGATCCTTTTCCCGAGTCGAAATCGTGCAACAAGTGGGTCGGCGTTGCCCTAGACTACGCGACTGGGTATGCCATCACTCGAGCGCTCCCCACCAGCACCGCTACTGACATTGCGGACTTTTTGCTCCACGATGTCATCCTACACCAAGGAGCTCCTCATCAATTTGACTTCAAATTGGCTCGTGCCTGACTTCAATACTTATCTCGAATTCAACATGTCACGCCCCACTCGAAACAAGCAGAACAAAACAATCCTAATGCCTTTCACGAGAACAAACGCTCACTGTCTATCCTTTTTCCCGAGAACGATAGCAGAATAGAACACTTTGCCACGCGACGTT